TTCTTACACTTGTTGCGCACAATTTGCCTTAGACTCCTCTCTTCACCCCTGCTCCCAGTCGGCTCATTAGTCCAGTCTTGGTTCAGTCTCCCATATATACTCTCCCTGTGCAGTTCTTCAGTGCTGGCTCCCCGTACATGTTTTCCCTCATCACTCCATGGTTCTGCTTTGTGTGCGTTCTTGTGTTCGGTTTTTGGATTCCTGCCTCTGTTACCTGTTGAGAACTCCATTAAAAATGCAAGAACTCACCTCTGCTCACTGCTTCTGCATTTGGGTCCTAAAAACCTCAACCAAACCCTGACACATTAGGTTTTAGGTTTGGAGGCATTTTCTCTCATAAGGTCAGACTCAAATAACTCAAATAGTAGAAATCCTAAATGATAAGAGCTTCCTTAGCAGCCCAATTGTTAGCTGTATGTATTGTTAGCCAGGTGGATTACATGATCTAAGTACAGAGGATTGGGTTGAGTATTTGATTGGCTTAAGCCAGCCTTTTCTGGACCTTTAAAACTATTGGGTGTGACAGACAGGAAGCGAAGGGTATGTCTGTGTGCCAAAACACAGGATGTCTAAAGAACCTGAGCTGACCTTAACAGTCTACATGTTAGTGGACGAAAAAAGAGATCAAGCCTTCGTATGTTTAGGATCCAAGCAAGTGACTGAAAGTGGCCTTGAAATGACTTGTTCCTGTTTTGGTTCCCCTCAGCTTTTATTTTGACCCAGAAAACGGTCTTTGGCTGGAGGAGAGCGATGCATCTGTTTCATCTGCTCGTTACACCAATAAGAGGCAGAGAGTTCATTGCAGCGAAGCGTTAAAATGTTCTCCGTCTGTGTGTGTGTGTATGTGTGTAAGTTCATATGTATTATCCATGTCTGTGGTCGTGGTGTTTTTACAGCTGCAAAGTGTAACCATTAATCAGTCAAGTCCAGGTCTCAGGCAGTCAAGCATGAGTTTCTGTTGTGGATGTGTCTCCTCTGGCCCACTTTGATTCAGTCTGTGCCTCTCAGACTGTAATGATACACACACCAGCTGCAGGTGCACAGATAAAAAGCCACCTGAATGAAATTACAGATTCTTTTCTCTCTTTCTTCCCACCTTGTCTGCAGTTCTACATCCAGTCCAGGTTCACTTGGCGCGGCGCTCGCCTCCTACGCCCCCTGCTCCAGTTCACCTTGTTGATGATGGCCTTCTACACCGGTTTGTCACGCGTCTCAGACCACAAGCACCACCCGACTGACGTCCTGGCTGGCTTTGTGCAGGGAGCCCTGGTGGCCTACTGCATAGTGAGTCCACACCTAACATAATCTATGTTAAACTGCTGGTTCTAAACCTGCTCAATTAGCATCCCACATATAAGGCAAACTTAAAGTTTTCTAATAAAAAAAGAAAAATCCTAAAGTATTGAAGGTTCATCCAAAGTTACATATTTTAGAACTGACTGGGGACCTTTAGTTTTTATTTTTAGAGCTAGTTATGAGTTCCTCTGCTAATTTATTATAGTTATTCGTAATCAGACTTTCAGGCTAGGGTGTGTTTGTCTTATTAATCTCATGACAGTTAATCTGGAAAAC